GTTCGACACGAGAGGTCTCCAAAGGAATCGATCTGATGTAAATTCGTTTCGTGGGACCAACGACGAAGGAACGCCATGACTCGATACGGTTGGTGAGTTCGAAGAATCAGCGAGCTAATTCAGTACGAGTCCCTAGGACGGTGGCGAATATCTTTCTTCGCTGTTGAGATCGAGCGCGGTCCAGAGTGAGAAGGTGGAAGGTGGGGAGAGGGCCTCCTCTCTCGAGCGATGGAAAATCCGGATTCGGAAACGCTCCCGCGAGTTTGTAAGCCTCGACCGTGAACCTAAATTCCCTTCTGACTTCCCGAACGTGACGCCTCACTCAGAACTCGGAAGGATTCCCTGAACGGAAATGTGTTCGAGTCACAGACCAAGTTATTGATTCTCTCTATTGAATCGAGCTCGCATTTTCTTCTATTGACGATTTCGGTTTCAGTGTATCTTATGAGATCATCGAACACTACAAGTCAGATATCCCATGTCATAGAGCTCGAGGAGCCAGAAGAAGAGGGGCGAGCGTCTCCCGAAGAGCATGCTTCTCACGACATCGAAGTGTACAAAGATACAACGCTAGCACCGCTGGCCAGGAGAGCAGCTGAGGGATTCCCTTCGAAGGACGCAACATTTCTGCTCAGAATAGGCGGCGCTGTATTACTGTTTCTCGGGATCATTCTCCTCTTCCGGAACTTTACGAGCTCGAAAACTATAGACGATTCCGGTAGGACCGAGCGGACGTCGACGACATTCGAGCAGGCGAGAAAAGCTGCATTTTTCCGGTGCACTCAGTCTGAGGGATCTTCAATTCTTCCCAGATCTGACGTCAGATGGAGGACAAACCAAGGAAACTGCGTATGTCCCGAAGACTCCTCTGATGAAGTTGAAGGACGGGATCGAGAAAGCTCTAGATCGAACAAAACAAGCTCTAGATTATCGTGCGTATGAGCTCCCGAAATTTGCGGAGTTCGGCAGCCACGATTACCAGATAACACAGGCCAGACTTGTGAACCCCATGAGGATGAAGTGGGACAGAGAGATATCTTTCGGAGGTGAGAGGACAACGAATGCTTTGTATGCAAGGAGCTGTCACCTTCGACTGCTCGAAGTTTCTCCTCTGAAGATTCTGCATCGGATGCTGAAGTCGGATTCGATTGGAACGGATTTCGATTGGAAGCGGAGCAACGGGATCCCGACACAGTTTTCACCTACTATCCGAGATGCGAAGTGCCCGATCTCCAAATCAAGCTCAAATTGTCCATATCTTCGGCTAAAGCCGACCCGGCGAATGTCATTTGTCATCTGGAGAGCATCGGTCCGACCCAAGTAAGTCAGCAAGAAGTCATCGGCTTGAGCAAGTGACTCCCGAAGCACCGGATACGTGCTGCTGATCGAGCGAAATATTTCCAGATTCCTCCGTCCACGCTTGCCGTATGCACAGAGTTGAACGATTCGGAGGATCGTAGAGTACAGAAGTTCCTGACGAAGCTGTTGAATATGTACATTCGCGTATTCCTCAATGAGGAGTTTGGATCGAAGTTCAACGAGTCACTCAGCAGAGTTTATTGATGAGAGCTCCGGGCTTCAAGAACTTGAACTCAATACGTCTTGGTTGTCATCGATTTCATCATTCTCCCTCGACAGAAAGCAAGCATAGGCTATCAGGGTTTCCTCGCTCCCCATTGTCTCAGAATTTTCCCTCCCCGCCTATGCGAAATAAAGCTCCAGGATGGAGGGCTGAGCAGAACTCTGCACATGCGAGTAAGGGACTAGCAAGAGCGATACCGCCTGACCCAGGTAAGGTCTGGCGCTTGTGTATTCGGACCATCGTCCGGCATAGGCCGATCGGCGGTTCCCGTTCGATCCCAACGACGGCCGAGACCTATTCCCCGAGGTATCAGGGTACGAGCACCAGTTGCGGAAAAGCTCGGAGTATCATTAGATCCAATTTCTCCGGCGATCCGAATGATAAGAGCGCTCTAGTTATTCATTGTCGAGACGTCTTGAGTGTAATATGGGAGCCTGGGCGAAGATTATTCTTCTGTACATCGAGTATCATATCTACCAACGAGCCGCGATTCGGCAAGGAATCGCGAGCTGCCTCCGACTTCGACCAAGATCTCGGCGTCTGAGATCACCGAGTGACCTCGGACTCAGCAAATTTCGATCTCACCCGACCGACTCATGAGCTGATATCACACACCAAACGCTAAGGAAGTGATCCGATGCTCAGCGGTGGACCTCGGGATCCTCGGAAGCGAGGACGCTCCTGCGCGGGAGTAGGTACTCGAGGCACGGCTATCTCGCGGAAGCATTCGGCAAGCGCTACCCGGGTTGAGAGGGCACATCGCGTCTCGGGTTCACAGCAGGTTATAGGTAGGTTCGACATTTCTTCGTTCCTGTGTGCATCGCGGCCGGACGTTGAGTCGGCTTCGAAGGCGACAATCGAAGCGGCGCGCAAGCGTGATTCGAGAATCCAGTGTGTTGATACCCAGAGCCAGATGGAGGAACCAAGAAGGGTGGCAGAGAGGCCGAACTTCATCAAGCTTGAGAGTGAAGAGGGCGAAGTTTTCACCATCCGTTCGCAATGCATAGAGCAATTCAACACCATCAAGAAAATGATCGACGCACTCGGCTACGATGACACCGACCCGATCCCATTGAGCAAGGTGAGGACGGCGACGCTCAAGAAGATCTGTGCCTGGGCCGAGCACCACGGTGACGATCCTCCAGCCAACGACGACGAAAGGGAAGACGAAGAAGAATACCGGCTCCGACGACGACATATCCCAGTCTGGGATGAAGAGTTCCTGAATGTCGACTTGGAAGAGTTGTTCGAAATTCTTTACGCAGCGAATTATCTCGATGCCAAGTTGTTGCTCGACTTGATCGTCAGGAAGCTCGCTAACATGATCAGAGGCAAAACACCGGAGGGTATCCGAAACACCTTCCACCTGCCGAACGACCTGACTCCCCAAGAGCAAGATTTACTCCACAGAGAGAACGATTGGTGCGAGGAGCGGTGAAGAACCCGGGGTGAAGATCGATCCAGGATTGGTTGGAGTCTTCGACGAGGATTCACTCGCTGATTCGCGAACGCTCCCGAGTCTGGGTTGAGACACAGAAAGTTGATCATCTTTTAGCTGAAACATCCACCCGAAGTGTCCGCTTTCAACATCATTGCTTGCCGGTTCGGGCTCCGTGACGCAGACGACCTCCATTCGGAGGAGGTTCTCCCGAACAGCTTCCCGGCCGGCTCGATTTCGGACTGAATCATGTAATTATTTAATTCCGAGACACATTTCTGCAATAAATCGCTGATTCCATCCGTGAGGTCACGTATTTATTCAATTCCAATATTCGAAGGGAGGGTCGATACCGATTCTGCGAAAGGAGATGTATCCTAGCGAGGATCCAGCTGATCCAGATGTTTATCTATCCCGGACAACGAAAGTCCACAACTAGTTTCTGTCGGAGACGCCGCGCCGCTTCCCCCAACATGTGGAGAAATGATCGCACCGAGAGATCGTTGCCGAATTCTCACCGGAGTCGTTTTTCGACCCACTGTGAGTGATCACTCCAAAATCTAGCTGCGCTCGCACCAGGATCCAGAAACTCAGAACGAGACTCTCTCCAGTCTTTCAGCTGACTGAGCCATCAATCAATACGCAAGAGGGTGCCATCCTCGGATAGTTAGAGCATCGGATTTGGTTCTCGTTCATTCCAGCTGCCGATGGACCTTCGTACATGTTTTCGAAGAGAGATGACGACGGGCATCGCTCCTCGGGATCAATTCGTTCGCAGAAGCGGAAACTTTTCCAGGAGCAATTCCTCGGGCTGGAGAAGTCGCTTCCGCGGAAGAGTACCGCCGGCGTTTCATGGACGTCTGTCAGCGTTGTACTTAGCGTCTTAGGAGCTTCGAGTTTTTTTCTGCTGTACCTGCTGTTGAGGCAGAGGGACCGTCAGAAGTCACTATATTTTGTGGAGGACGAGGATATAGGGCGAATGACCAGCGGTGAAGAATTCAGATGTATTTTTTGTATATGAGAATGGGGGCTCCTCGGCTGGTCCTCCCGCTGCAGGTCATGAAAAATGGGTGGATAGCCGCGTTGATCTTCCAGGGAGTAGAGAAACACCGCCGAGAGCGATACCCAACGAGGTGACACCCGGAGCGATCACTGCTCCGCCGATTCCCGACGGGATCCCCGGTCCGCGGCCGGTACTGCGACGGAGGGAGCCAAAACATAGAGACCGTGGAGTTGACCGGGAGCAATCCCCAATCTGATCAGGAGCCGTATCGTGGTGTTTGTTTCCCCGTGGCGCTAATTAATGATGAATCCTTTCGGGCTTGGAGAGTCTTGAAAAGAAATGGACGGATAGAAAACACGTGTTGGATATTCTGATCTCCGTTTTAACAAAGGTTGTAGTTGTTGGACACTTTATTTTGGCCATTTTAAATTTAATAGACTTTAACATTGATACAACATTTATATATGTAGCCTGTCGTGAATTGCTAACGGAGTTGCGGCCCATTCAAAACTGGCCTACTGCACGAACAGTGGTATACCAAGGCATCGATTCGCCTCTTCTCCTCGACTCCGTGCCTACGCCAACGAAAAAAATACAACAATGATTACGCACGCAACGCCTGGGTAGATCTCGCTTTGGTGTTGTGGGGGGGATGTCGAATGGTTGCTTTATCAAATAACGGATTTGATCAAAATTCTCTTTCAAGTTCTGCTTGTCTTCTGCTTGATACATGGTCTGATTATTTTTCTCTTTCGGGTGGATGCATCTCACGGTCGATCGACTGGTTGGTTGGTCGGTCGGTCGGTCGGTCACTCAGTCAGGCAGACATAAGGATGTTGACGCTGATATCAATGGACAGAGAGATAAGAGAGTCGCGCGAATGCAGTGAAAAAGGAGAAAGTGATGGAATTCTCCGAGGGTGGGCACCAATTGATAAAAGAGCTCAGAGAAGTTAACGGAGATCTTAGTAGACAAATTTACTCATCGCCGCCGGCTGATTGTCGCTCGGCTCGTTGTCGTAACCACCACCACGCCCTGAGTTCCTCATAGAGGAGAGCCACGTCCTTAGTATCGGAATGATCTTCGCCGAGAGCAATCCTCGTCACACGAACGGCCTCCTGGAGGAGCGCGATGAGCGGCCCGAAAACTTCGGGATCTTGAGAGGTTTTCACTACAATTGTCGAGAGTCGAGCCAGGCGAACGAGTTTATACGCGTATTCCGCTTTATTTTCGGTGAAAACTCGTTTCATAACTGGGAGACTCCGACTGTAGTAGTTGTAAGCGCGGTCGTAAGAAGAAGCGCAAACTGAAGCGTCCGCCGCTACTAGGATCGCTCGGAATTTGGCAACGTCCGAATCATCGAGATCTTTGAGTTTGGTCGACAGAAGCTCCTCGACGCCCTTCAACGCCTTCCGGTGGTTCTCGGGGCTCGAAAGATCGAGGCTTAGTTTCTCGAGCTCGAGTACTTCATCGGTGAGTTTCGGATCGGCTTCGCTCAAAACCTCAGGCACTTTCCCGGAGCACATTTCGCATTCGCAGGTGAAGTAGTACTCTTCCCGCAGTGTTTTCCGTCTGCGTTCCTTGGTGGTGCAGACCGGCATGTAGGCAAGAGAAAGATCGGCGACGGTTTTCGGTTCGCACGGTCGAAGTACTTTGAGCACGATTTTCTGCCCCTTGAAAGTTGCGGTGAGGTTTGGATAACACGAGTGGTCGATGAGGGAAGGCGCAAGGTACAGCGCGCAGCCGAACGAGTCGTCGTCGTTGCTGATATGAATCGTGTTCACGCACATGATGCCGAAAATCTCCAAGATGTCGAGGTCGCTAACGCCTTCGAGCTGAGCCGCGGTGAGGAACTGCTTGAGCAGATTGAGCATTTCCACGAAGGCTCCCCCGCGGACTCGGTCCCTCTTGATCTCTTGCAGGTGGCTCATACAGTCCTTGAGTTGACGTCGTGTACCGAGTAGAGTCTCGGACGACGGATTGTTGAGCTCTCGTCTCCAGCGTAGAATAATACGCGCCATCAAACGCGCAGGCTCTGCTGGTCTTCTCGGTGCCACCCTCCGCAAATTCGCGCATTCGAACTTGTGATCCACCCAGTCGCCGACCTGAAAAGGTCGTGGTGCGTACGTTGAGACAATTACATTCTCTTCATCGGCTTCGTCATCGTCATCACCATCATCATCAACTAATCAATAACTTTCGTTGATGCTCCAACTCGCTGACAAGATCTGGGTTTCGAGGTGGCGAGGATTCTGCGAATGCATTCAATCGAAACGAGCGATCTCTCGCAGATGGGATTCAACGATTCGGAAGGAATCGCTTCCCCGGGAGCGCTCTCGTAGAATCCTCGCTAGGAACCCGACAAATATCGGTGATACATCGGTGAACATCGGTTGATAGAGAGTCTAGCGAAAGAAGGTTGGTCTGCGTGGCCTGAGTGGATCGACGCGCACTCCAGAATGGTCGGATTTTCATTTCGCCGCTCATCGTGACAAAGGACTAGAATGGAATGGATATGTGTACAACCAATGCTGACCAGCGTAGGGCACGCATCTTCGAAATCGGCCAGGAGAGTTCCGACCTCGGGCTGGAATGCACGACGAATCAGCCACAATACAACGAGTCCGCAGTCATTGCACTGGGAGCATTGTTCTACTGTAGTACATCATCATCATCATCACGTAAGCATCAACGTTTGTTGTAATTATTGTTTCTATTTACAGGCGGCTGGTTCATGATGGCGTCAGCAGACAGTAGGAATCCGAAGATTGTCGTTCGTACGAGGTTCGAGTGTAGTCTCTTTCATGGAGTGGTTTTATCTGACAGACTTTCAAATCTGTTGGAAGATCCACCAGGTAACAATCGTTTGGTAAAGAAAAAAATCCCTGAACCTGAGCTTAGTGCGACTGCCGTTGGCTCTATCGAAAGTCTACCAGACCGCGTAGTCTCTGACTTTCACTCATCCACATGACCGAATCGACGCTCCAGGGCCGAACAGAAATTATCTCGGATCGATTTCCACGGATTGGGCAACGGGAGGGAAAAGCTGAGCGGCATTGAAATCTCGGCTCCGCTCGGCCCGGAGTTGTCACAGCGGTCTCGATGAATGTTAGCTTACACGGAGCCATGGACTCGTACGCACAACTCTATACTTTCGTTCCAATCGCCCAGTCGTTTTCCTGAGAGGCTATCGTGATTTAGTCCTTCAATACAGTTCATCCATCCGAGAGACAGTAGAGGTATCACTGTCGATCCCGCTTTCATCTCAATTCACCGTCAGTCGATGATGATATAGTCAAATTACCCATTATAGACGCAGTAATAATAATAATTATAGTTATCATCATGCTAATAGTAATAGGTCTGGAATTGTTGTAGTCTGTTCTCATTGGTTGCGACGATGACACGGAACAACTATTATGTATAACTATGTATAATTAATACGAGGTTTTGGCTGTCACATTCGTTGCGAGGTGCTGGGCTTCGAAAGCGCACTGATGCTCCTTGCTTCACATTCAAGACAGCATTCGCACTCATGTTGATGATCCCATCCATATCAGCCGATCACTAGAGCATTAATTTCCCTCTCAGTCACCAGGCTTCGATTATAATGATAGTACTACACACCGAAATCAATAATAATTATAATAACAGCAATGAAAACGCTACTGGTAATAATAGACATGCTCGTCGAAAAACCATCGCGGAGCCCCATCAGCCATCAGTCGTGCCAGCTCTACGCGTCTGTCGGCGGTAGAGTTGACGCAGATAAACGACCGAAATATTCATTGAGTAATCATTCGGTGTCGATCATTGAATCGAGAATTGTTGTATTCCTATGTTTTCTGAGACTTCGCTCGCTCAAAGGGAACGACGCCAACACACACTTGGGGACAGTAGTTTAGACTCGACACTGAAGTCATCGTCGTTATCATCATCAGTTCACGCTAAAATTCGTCGGCCTGGTTTGCGAAAATTTACAGCTGTAGTCCATCGGATTGGATGATTCTCACGCGCTGTCACGAGCAGCTCTAAGTATCGTGTTGTCTCAGCGAGTACCGTTCAACCCCTTGTATTCTGTCCCTAGCCTTCTTCATGTTCCCCCTGTCGTGGTAAAAGATTACAAGATATTCGCTCGCTCGTAGTCGAGGTGAGTTTTTTGGTCGTGTTCATTGACCGCTCAGTGTAGCTTGTGTCAGCGGATGTGTCCTCCCTTACGTACTCATGGTGTTCGAGTTCAGCGCTCATTCGTGTGAATCCGAACGCTCCCCGTAGGGATGTACCCTCAACTTCTTCTTCTGGATCACAACAGGACCTTCGACAGGTTTTTATGCAGCAACAACGGTTCCGCCCCTCAACGCTGTCACCAAGTATTCTTACTGGCTAGCATTCAATACATTCAATCCACTCGCTCATCATCAGTCACTCGAAGAGGAAAGCCGGAGGAGATGGACTCCAAACGCCTCGATTCCACATGGGGAACGGATTTAGGTCAAGGCGCAGGAAACCGGCTCGAGGATTTTTTCCCCTGATGAATCATCTCCCTGTCTTCCATCATCATCTCTATCGCATCTTTCTCATCATCGCTCGTCCGTTCTCATCATCAGAGTCTTCATCTTCGGGATCGATGTCGCTCGAGTGTGTAAGTGTGCAGTGACCAAAGAGATCAGGTCGTTTGTGATTGTGTCGTAAGGTACGATTGGTAAGCATGTCGATGTGGCGGCGCATAGGATATGCTCTGTTTGTAGTCAAATCCACGTAGGTTGTTGTAGTCTGTAGGTGGGTAGTGGTTTCAGTCTTATGACGGGTCCCGGATGTCGATGCATCGCTTCACGGACACGGAGGAAGGACGGGAGTGACATGAGGGAGGGGGAGGAGATGGGGGGGAGGGGAGGAATGTGAGAGGTCAGCGTCATCGCTGTCTGCCGCTTGTCTCATCAAAGCCCGTCGGAGATCCAACCTCAAGATTAATTGGGGCTGTTATGCAGGACCAAAGGTGGAGGCCGTGGTTTCCTGTGGGTTCTGGGAGGCAGTTGGGGCATCAGAGTTGGAGCAGTCGATGTCGTCGCTACCATGGCGGCTGGTTGAGTTTGTTGTAATTGTTGTTTCTGTAGAGGCTGTTGCTGTGGTAGGAGAGGTGCAGAAGGTAATTGTTGTTGCTGTTGGAGCAGCAATTGTTGTTGCTGCTGTTGGGGAGCAAGCGGTTTTCGGGGGGGCAGGGGGGGTGGAGACTCGGATTGTCCGGCCCCTCGCGGAGGCAGAGCTGGCGAGGTCGAATCGTCCCGTCTCGTTCGAGGTGGAAGGGGGGCGCCGCGGCAGAATCGGGAAACGCGAATCTTGCCGGGTGCTGGAGCGGGGAAGACGGTGACGGTGGGAAAAACACGCCGGATATGGAAGCGGGTTGCGAATTCTGCCTGCGATGAGCCACCAACGGCGCTGGGGGCACCGATTGCTGGGGCGTCAACGAATTCGTTCCCACCGCCGCCGCCGTCGTCGTCGAGTGACACGACGCGATTTCTGAAGAGGAGTTCACGAACGCCACCATCATGTTGCGGTGTTCGTTGGCCGACGACGGGGGCGACGTCGGTGTCGAGGGCTGATTGGTGTGATGGAGCGAGTTGTTGTCCTCGGGCGAATGGGGAGGGTTGGGGGACGTCGCCGAAGACGACGACGACTGATTGAACGTATGATGATGATGGTTGTTGCTGCTGTGATTGTTATGGTGGTGATGATGGTGATGGTGGTGTTGATGGTGCGATGAATAACTTGACGGTTGGGAGTGGGACTGCTGTTGCTGCTGTTGTAGCGGCTGCTGCTGCTGCTGCTGCTCGTTGTGATGGTGATTGAGACCGGGTAGGAACGAAGTCGGATTCGACGAGCTCGCAGAACGAGAACTGTTCCGCGCCACTTTGGTGCCTGGCGACTTAAGAGTGATGTCGGGCCATCGGCGCGGACCTTTCATCGGTGGTTGCTTCCGCGGTTCGATTTCCAATGAGCATTTATACAAGTAGTCGTTGAGCTCTTTCTCAGAAAGGTCCACCTGAGGGCCGAGCTGTTCGAGGAACGCGCGAATGTCCTTATCGACGGTTAGATTATACGGCTGATTTTGATACTGCTGGATCTCTCCGGTGATTTCGGCAACCTTGCGTCGCTTTGAGAAATTTATCAAACCCGGACCGCCGTCGATGGCGATTATGTCCGGGTTTCCTTCTTCGATATGTAAAATGTTGGTCAGGTACATCCCTAGAAACGGCACACAGGGTGGGTTGATAGAACGGAGACGTTCCTGATACTTCTTCCAGTGAGCGGTTTGAAGATCGGAAACATCGTCGCGCACTCTTTGCAAATTACCTCGGATGGCGTCTCTCGTGTGCCCCAGTCTGTAGAGGGGCGCCGACTGGAGAGCCGTCGAGATGGCGAAAGCGCCGGTGAAGTTGTTCAGCTCGTGTAGAACACCCATGATCTCGACGCTGCGACTGTACACAGCGACCCGCTCTTCGAAATTCTGGCATTCGACGATCAGCTTTTCGAGGTAGAACGATAGATCTGAGCTGTGGTGAATAATTTTCAAGAGGTTCGGTGACGCGGTGTTCTTCTCCTTCTTCATCCACGGCACGTTGACCAGCTCCGACGGCTGGACGGCTCGATAGTGGTCGAATTCGAGCAGGGTGAGCTGTCGAGCGATTTCGACCGGATGCAAACTCAGCCAATCGAACTTATCGGGGTCCCGAGTGAGAAACCACTCTATCGGGGGTGGGTTAT